TTTCTGTGATTAGCTTTTTAGTTAGCACTTTGGTACCTTTTGATTTTGACAGTCTTTAGCTACTAATTGCTAGCATTTTTCTGTAATTAGCTTTGAGTTAGCATTTCACAATTTTAGGTAACATGTACTAGTATATTTTTTAGCTGTGCTTTTGCTACTCTTATCATTTAATACTTGTAGCTTTTATCTAGCAAACCTTTTAAGTTATTGTTTCTTTTAGCTTGTAGGTAACATTTCACTATTCATTAGGGAGCATTTAGCTACTTTTAGCTTTAAGCTAGATTTTACCACTTTTAGCTAGCATTTTACGTGTTTAGTTATCAATTTGTTACTTTTAATTTTTAACAACCTTTAGCTACATTTAGCTAGCATTGGGTTTTTGTGTTAGGATGTAGCTACCTTTAACTTTAAGCTCATTTGTAGCTAGCGTTTTACATTTTTGGTATCAATTTGTTATGTTAACGTTTTAGCAACCTTTAGCTACTTTTAGCTAGCAGTGGTTTTTTGGGGGGGTTAGCATGTTACTTTTAACCATATGCTCACTTTTAGCTAGCTTCTTAGTTAGCATTTTGATACGTTTTGATTTTGACAGTCTTTAGCTACTTATAGCTAGCATTATACGCTTCAGTTTTTAGTTAGCGTTTCATTATTTTAGGAAGCCTTCGTTAAATTTTTAGCTGTGGTTTTGTTACTCTTAGCTAGCATTTTTACTACTTGTAGCTTTTTGCTAGCATTTTATGTATTCAGTTAGCAATTTGTTACTTTTAAGTTTGGACACGCTTTGGTTACTTTTTGCTCTTAATTTTTTTTTAGCTTGTAGGTAATATGTCGCTATTTATTAGGTAGCATTTTCTACTTTTAGGTTTTAGTTACCATTTTGCATTTTTAGCAATCAATTTGTTATATTTATGTTTTAACAACCTTTACCTACTTTTAGCTGGCACTGGGTGATTTGTGTTAGCATGTTGCTACTTTTAACTCACTTTTAGCTAGCTTGTTAGTTAGCATTTTGGTACGTTTTGATTTTGACATCTTTATCTACTTATAGCTAGCAGTTTCCTCCTTTGTTTCTTTAATCTTGTAGGTAACATTTAACTATTTTTTAGGTAGCATTTTGCTAATATTAGCATCTACTTTTCGTTTTGCTACATTTAGCTTTCAGCTCAGTTTCAAGATGAGCAGATGATTGTAGCTAAATGACAGAACTTAGAATTCCTTCCAGATTTCCACAGAAAATACTTTTTTCTCGTCGTTCCCTGGTCTCCTTCAGAACGTCTCTTGGACAGAGTTCTGAATCGGTCCAGAACCAGAAGGACAAAGGCCGTTCTTGTTCCTGCAGGTCTGGACCCGGTTGTGTTCTGGTCTCTGAGTCGTTTGTTCCCAGTCTGAAGCTGGACCTCCTGACAACAAGAGTTCTGCTGGGGAGAGAAGCCGCCGGGGTCAAGGGTCAGGGAGGGACCATCAACCCCTGGAGGTCGTCAACGGTTAATTTTTTTATTTTATTTTTTATTTTAAGGACGTGTGAGTGACCCACATTCCAGAAAACTGAAGATTTAAAAAGTCCAGCTTGGACTCGCAATCAGGATTTAAGAAGGAAAAACATTAAACTGTGCAAAACAAACAAACAAACATAAACATGCAGTCCAACAGGACAAGCGGTCGTTGTCTCGGTTTGACAAAAATAAATCTTATTTATGTCCAAAGTTTTCGTGATCTGCTGCTGAAAACAGGTAAAACCACAAGTTTACATACACCAACATTACAGAGCCCTTTAGGAATGACCATGTGGTGATGTCATAGCTTCGGGGGCTTCTGATTGGTTAGCTGACAGCAACGGAGTTAAATGGAGCCTCAAACACTTTGCTTCTTTGCGTTGCATCGTGGGAAAATCCAATAAATCATCAGGGAGAGGATCATCGACCTCCAGTTTGTCCACCAAGGGGACAAAGACCTTCATGTTTGGAGACGTGTCCTGTGGTCTGATGACACTGAACACCATCCTAACTGTGAAGTACAGAGGTGGCAGGATCATGATGGGGGGTGGATATTGACGCTGCGTCTCAACAGGGTTACGTTTGACACAAATGGGCCATCCAAACGGACAACGTCCCTCAGCAAACATCTGGTTTCTACTGAAAGATAATATTTGATATGTGGCATCTTTTTTTTGTGTACTTCTCTGTGGTACTCTGAGAAGTACTCCAGTATAAAACAGGAAGTAGCTCCTCCTGTGGTTCTTTCTGCAACTAGAGCCAGAATCTCTGAGGGTTCTGGTGCTGAAGCTGCTGGGCTGCAGGTGCGTCAGGGCACAGGTGAAGCAGCTCACCTGGGAGTCAGGTGTTCTGCTCCACATCTGTGGCCTGCAGCTCCGTGCTGCGTTCAGGTACCCTTCAGTGAACTCGGTCACCACACGCAAACCCCGCGAGGAGGAATAAGATCAATGAAATGGACCGGGCCAGGGGTGAACTCACGTAATGTTTGGACGGGTTCCGCCTCTTCTCCACGTCCACCACTTTGACGTCCAGAACCGTCCGGAACTGCATCTTGACCCTGCACAGGCTTTGCATTAAAAGGCTCCGGGTTGGATCCGCTTCCCCTCGGAACAAATCACATTCCTCTCTGTGTCACCGAACCGGGAGGTCCGCGACAGGCCGGCTTACAGAACTTATCGGTTCGGGAGCGGACACCGAGCCGACGGTCCGGGCTCGTGCCTGCTCGGCGGAAGCGCTTTCCTTAAAAAAAAGAAGGATAAAAAAAAAAGTAAACGACTTCCTTTGTGTCCGCAGCCAGAATCAGAACCGCTCCATCAGCAGAACCCGAACCTCCGGAGGCGGTCTGGGTCCGGGAGAACCGGCAAATCCAGAGTCCAGCAGCAGACAGAACCGGGTTTCTCCAAAAAACCCAGTTAGAAAAACCCGAATATGTCACCGCTGCGTAATGAGGACTCATTCATCCAGGCCCAGTAAGTTTCCCGCGAACACGACCCAGCAGGACGGAACCGTCCGGAACCGAGCCTCATCCTATTTTATCCCGCTGCGGAGACGTGTCAGATTATCTCCGTCCGAGTCGGAACCAGCTTTCTGGCCGGAGACACGAACAACTGGAACTGAATACAGATGTTTGCGAGCCGACCAATCAGAGTCCGCCGCTCGGAGGGAAGGAGCCAATCAGCGTCGAGATACCGCCCCCCAGCGGACAAACGGCGCCAACGCACAAATTGGCTGTTCAGCAAGAAAAACCATAAACAGCATCTTACCTGCCGAAGATGGTTTATGAACATCATCAGTTTGGAGCTGGGTTCTGCAATCTGCAGTTCTGGGCCCACATGGGGGCGTTCAACCCCTCCACAGTAGAGCTGCATTTGGGCCTAAAAAAATCCAACCCGGACTAAGCCTGTAGGTTTTTTTTTCCGAACCCGACCCGATCATTTAACTAATTATAGGCCCGACCCCCCAAGTCAGTTTGACGTGATATTTAAAAACATATTTCAAAGGAAGATATAAGAGTTCTTGTTTCACCAAATGGATGTTAACATACAAAACAAATAGCCTTAAATCAACTCCAAAGATAAGCTATTATACAGATGAATAAAAATATTTTTAGAGCAAAATTATTTGGAAACATACAGAGCAAGGCTATTTTAATTGAACGCTCTGCTCGCTTCGGCTTTTCTTCAGATGCTGCAACTTCTTCCACTGCAGATGACAGCAGGGTGCAGAGACGCGCGCGGCCGGTGATCACCTGATCCATCTGAGCTTAAATGGAATTTTTTTTTTTTCTTTCAACTGGCCGGTCGGACCTGCCTCCTCCTCAACAAGATTAACACAAGTGTATATATGCATTCTCATTTAGTTTTATTTTATTTTTTGGTGCTGTATGATTAACCGTACCAAAAGCCCGAGACCAACAACAGCCTGCCCTTCAAGCACAGTATTTTGGTCTGCCCCGGCCCAAATTTTGAGCCCGGGCTAGAAATGACAGCTCTTCCCACAGTGACTCTTTATAACTTTAAAATCAAACTAAGATGAAATCAATATTACTTATATTCATAACTACAACAGAAGATGTTGCTTTTCTGTGCTGGCCCATCCTTTTGGCCAGTTGTTGTTTAGTTTCCCCGATGTAAGACTGATCACCCTCCTGACACTGAACAGCATACACAACATTACTCTGTTTGTGCCGGGGGACTGGAGCTTTGGGATGAACCAGTTTTTGCTGTAATGTATTTTGGGGTTTAAAAGCCACTGGGACGTTATGTTTAGAAAATAAATGTCTCAGTTTCACTGAAACTCCCTCAACATATGGAATGACCACTGGTCTGGGTTCCTCTTCATCTGGAGTTCTTGTGAACCCGTCCATCTTTAAAAGGGGCGGAGGCCTCCTAGCATCACTCAGCCCTCTGTGAATAGCAAGTGGCCGCCAGGGCACTAACAAAACATCAAGTTGAAATAACTTGGGGTTTTTTTAAGCTCAGACCTTCAGTTAAAAAAAAATTCACATTTCAGTTTTTTGAAAAATGACAAAATATTTAGTTTTGTTAGTTTGAAAAAAAAAAATAATAATAATAATAATAATTAGACATTTTCCTCCGTACACTCAAAGGTTTATTCACACACTGTATTTTAAAACATTTAATAGAAAAACTAACAGCAGCATGTTCTGTTGTCAGGTCCACCGGACGAATTCTTCTGTGTTGAAACGTTTCATCTTTTATCCAAAGGACTTCATCAGTCTGAGGAGCTGTCTTATAAGCAGCACCTCATGGGGGATCAACCAGTTTGTTGTGGACATCCAGAACCAGCTGTTCACATGATCAAGGACCATCAGCCTAACGACTGTTTCAGGCTCGTGTATAGAAGTTCTTACAGAGTGGCAGGTTCAGTGTGGACACAAATATTAAAAACAGTATTTTTAATTAGTCCGGTAAGAGGATCCATGTCTCCGCTGTCACAGGATGAAAACACATCCTGAGGGTTCATCTTCCACTTATTTAGCTCAGTATTTAAGTTTTATGAAGATAAAGTCGGTCTTTGAGAGCTGAGCAGAACCCTCGGTGATGGAAAGAGGAGTGGGTCAGAACTGGTCTAGAACCATGAGGTTGAAACAGAGAACCAGTAAGGGTTCTGCTCCTGAAGCAGGTTCTGGATCAGGACTGGATTTTATTTTTGAGCCGTTTTGTTGAATGAAAAGCGGAATGTGTCGATGATTTACTGAACTGTAAGACGGAGCCGAGCGATGAGCTTCAGTTCTGTCCTGAAACAAACAATAAATGGAAACACAGGAGCTGTTTGATGACGGCCATCAGAACCATCAGAACCTGAAACTCATCTTCATCCAGAGGTAACAGATGGGCCTGAGGAGGAGAGGGTGTGAGCTGCATCACTGCCTCTTGGCACCTGATCATGTTCTCAAGAAAAATAATAAAATAAAGTCGTTTTCTAAAGAACAAGCTGGACCGACTGCAGATGGAGTCAGAACGGGCTTTAATGCCGACCCAGGAGACGCCTTGTTCTTTTGCTTCAAGGCTCCACAACAAGCTGCTCCTTCCATCTGTTTCTTCTTTCATTTATTAAAAACACATCTTTACAACAGCGATTTGAACTTCTTCAGACACGCTGGTGTTAAAACGCCGTGTAGCGGCTGTCGCTGGTGCTGACGATGTCGCTGTCGCGCTCCAGCGCCTTCAGGACCAGATCCAGAGCCGCCCTGCTCACGTTGAGGCTGTGACGCTGCCGGACCGCAGACAGGACGTGCAGGACGTGGCAACCCTTCTCTGCATCTGCGGGGCACAAAGACGCTTTCACTTCAGACGAATCAAAATCACTGCAACTGCCGTCAAAACGTCAGTTCGACTAAAGTCAGTCTACATTAAAGGGACATTCTGGCACTTTTGTGGTTCTGGAGGGACGGGACTTGAAAGAATGCAAATCGCCCGCCGCCTTCCAGGACAAAGTCTTAAATTAAGATAATCTAATGTTGAGAAATGATGCTCAGAAGGTCCGTTGACTTTATAATCACCACCTTACTTCACTGCTTTAAAATACAATTCTGTACACAATAAACTTGTTATTTTTAGAACTATCTTCACCTAAAAAGAAAAAAATCGCATTTAAATGACTAAAGACTCACAACGTGAGGTGCACATAACAAAACAATCGTGCAATCAGTCAAAAGTTACATTAAAAGCAGCATCCTGTAGCCTCTGAAGCTGAGATCCAGGAACCTCTGACTCCTTACAGTAATCAGCCGAGTGCTAACGACGGCGTGGATTACCGTTTCGAAATGCCACAGAGAAACAATCAGCTGTACTTTAGCCAGCTGCCTCAAATGGAAAAACTAGATTTAACAACTGCTCTGATGTGATTTTCTAACTTCAGTCCAGTATCTACTCAAAACCCTAAGTTTGTTAGAGTTGGCCTGATGTACTGGATCAAGGAACCAACATTGAGATAGTGGGTCTCAGTGGAGCTTCCAAAGACCATCACCTCAATCTTTTTCCTCATTAAACCTTAAAAAGTTCACTGCCATCCAGGCTTTTATGTCCTCCAGACATGACAACAGAGGGCTCAGAGTTAGTCCATTTCTTTATTGGGACATAAATCTGTGTAATTCTGTGTAACAATGAAAGGAGAGACCTTATTTTCGAAAAATAGAGGCAAGAAGTAGCAGGTACAGCATGAAGAGGAGGGGGCTTAAAACTGAGCCTTGCGGGACCCCACACTCATTCTTATTTCTAGACTTACTCTTTCCTTTGACTCTTTGCTTTCAGTTCCATTTGCCCAGACTGAAATGGGTAAAAAGGTTTTTGTTTATTCTGCATCTTCAGCATGGAATATGTACCTTTTAAACTGATACTGAGGAGATATGTGCTTAATTTCATTACATGTGCTGTACATGTTATTCTTATCTTGCAGTAATGTATTTCATATTCTCATGTTTTATTTCCTTTTTGTAATTTAATGTGTAACTTTGTACCTTAATGGTACTTGCTGTCACCTATCTTGGCCAGGACTCCCTTGAAAAAGTGGTTTTTAATCTCAATGGGATTTTTCCCAGTAAAATAAAAGTTTAATAAAAATTAAATATTATTGATTAAAAATGTTTCATTTTCAAAGTGGCAAAACATCAATTTAACATGGCATAAAATATAAAGTTTACATACATTTCTGTCTTTTGGAGTCCTCCCTGATGATATCTTTGACAGCGATGTGCAGATCTTTGTCCTGTGCAGTCACCTGGTGACAAGCGACAGCATCAATATTGTACGAGGGTCAAGCTAGCATCAAAACAACCAGCTGAAGATGGACTAGTCCTTACATGGTAGACTTCATCCTGGGACTTCACCTTTCGGTAAACCACCCCTTCATCCTGCAGGAGCTGCAGGACCTCCTTCAGAAGCTGGCGAAGCTGCTGGCACGCAGATGGACCTGCTACAGGCTCCTAAACAAGATCGGAAAAGCAAAAATAGCTGAACCACTTTTCATCTCAGCTTCTTTTATAAAGCACTTCACAAACACAAGCAATTTCACTCCAGTAGCTGATGAGTTTAGTCTGGCTTCATTGACAAAAGAAGTTGAGTGTCATCAGCATACGATGTCATCACCCAAAAGAAGAATGTGCAAAGAAAACCAAACTGGACCAAGTGCAGAACCCTGAGGAACACAATTAACTTCACCAAGTGAGGAGATAAGCTCTGAGATAATTAACTCCTAGATAAACCAGAAAGTATAAACTAATATTACTATTTTATGAATAACACTCAACATTTTCTTATTTTTTTTTACCTTCGGGCCAAATTGTCTTAATTTATTTTAACCCCCCCCCCCCTCCCCCACCCCCCCAAAAGGAAAATAATTTGCTGCCCAAATATTTTTACCCACTTCTAATAAACATGAATCCTCTACGATTCATATTTACTTTACATTTACAGGAATTCAAGAACATTTGACTGTAGCAAGAATTCAAATCCTGATTTTATTAATTTTTTTTTATTTCATTCGGACCATAGAAGTTCACTTTGAAACAAAAATGTTCAGCAGCTCAGCTCCTTTTCTTCACCTGCTCAGCAGTTGATGTTTGTGGTTTGATGGAGATCAGAGGCTGCAGGAGATCCTGGACATCATAAGATCTGAACCTGGTCACTGACTTCTGCTTTAGGAAATCTTTAATCATATTTGTCGCCTTACTCAGTGAACTGTTGGCAGAGCTTCTGCAGAACAAACGGGATGGATGGTTGATGTGCCTTGTTCTGGCAGACATGATGTACCGTGTATGGTCATTTCACTATGAAGATGGATGTTTGTACCCTTCTGCATCAGTCTTAAAGTCAAACTGTTTGTCGTAGCACTCTCTGTAGAGCTGAGGAACTTCCATCATCCAAGTTATCTGCGCCGCCATCACCGGATCGTCAACTTTATCTGAGAACAAACACACGGATGGACGAGCAAAACACAGAGACAGTACGTAATGTCAAATTTAAAATGTGGTTTGATTTTTGTACACGTCAGGGGTGTAATAATAATATGTCCCCTGAAGTCACGGCACCTAGATCAGTATGAGGGTCACGGTTTGGTACTGTATAGTATGGTTTTTCAAGTTATTAACACTTCTTCTTCTTCTTCTTCTTCTTCTTCTTCTTCTTCCGGCTTTTCCATTTTCAGGTGTCTCCACAGCGAGTCATCCTCCATCTCACTCTGTCCTCACTCCAACTACCTCCATGTCCTCTAACTGCATCCCCGTCTCCTCTTTGTCTTTTCCCTGGCAGCTGCATTTCTAACATCCTTCTACCAATATACCCACTGTCCCTCCTCTGGACATGTCCAAACCACTGTCCCTCCTCTGGACATGTCCAAACCACTGTCCCTCACTGGACATGTCCAAACCATCTCAGTGTGTCCTCTCTAACTTTATCTGCCAGTTGTTCAACCAGTGCTGTACCTCTGATGATCTCATTCCTAATCTTCTCCATCCTTGTCACTCCTAAGAAGAACCTCAACATCTTCATTTCTGCCACTTCCAGTTCTGTCTCCTGTCTTTTTGTCCATGTCTCTGTCTCCAGACCATACAACATAGCTGGTCTCACCACTGTCTTGTAAACTTTTCCTTTGACCTTTGCTGAAAACCCTTTTGTCACAAATCCCTCCTGAAACTTTTCTCCATCCACTCCATCCTGCCTGGACTCTCTTCTTCACCTCTTCACCACAATCCCCATTTTCCTGGACAGTGGACCCCAAGTCCTTGAAGTCCTGCACCTTTGTGGCCTCTGCTCCTTGTAGCCTCACTGTTCCACCTCCTCCCTCTCACTCACACACATGTACTCTGTCTTACTACGACTGACTTTCATTCCTCTTCTTTCAAGTACATACCTCCACCTCTCCAAGTTCTCTTCCACCTGTTCCCTGTTCTCACCACAGATCACAATGTCATCTGCAAACATCAACGTCCACGGGGATTCCTGCCTGACCTCATCTGGTCCATCACCAGAGCAAACAAGAAGGGGCTTAGAGCTGATCCTTGATGCACTCCCACCTCCACCTTGAAACTATCTGTCATTCCTACAGCACATCTCACCACTGCCCTGCTGTCCTCATACATGTCCTGTTGTCCTCATACATGTCCTGCTGTCCTCGTCCTGTTGTCTTCATACATGTCCTGCTGTCCTCATACATGTCCTGTACCAGTCCAACATACTTCTCTGCCACTCCAGATTTCCTCATACTACACCACACCTCCTCCCTCGGCACTCTGTCATATGTTTTTTTCTAAATCCAAAGACACAATGGAGTTCTTTCTGACCCTCTGTACTTCTCCATCAGCATCCTCAAAGCGAAGATGGTGTCTGTGGTGCTCTTTCTGGGCAAGAAACCGTACTGCTGCTCACAAATAGTCACCTCTCATCTCATTTAAAAGTTATTAATAACACTTAATAATGATTATTTGCTGATAAGTAATGTGCACTGTCATCACTTCATGTTCCCATACAATGTCAAAATTAGTTCTCTGCATTTAACCCATCCCACCTGGGATACACTCAGGTGGAGCGGTGGGGCAGCTATGAAAGCGCCCGGGGAGCAATTAGGGGTTAGGTGTCTTGCTCAGAGACATCGGGACATGTGAGAATGGCTGGGGATCAAACCTGGGACTTTTGGGTCCCGAGTCGGCTGCCCTGCGATTGCATTATATTAGAATATGTCATATTTGGTCCCTTCTGTGCAGCTACTTAAAGACTGTAAGAGTTTAGTTCAACTTTAGGAACCTAAATGTTGACACGAGTGGTTTATTCTTAAAAAGAGGCCTTTTGGATAAGTGATGCAGTACAGGAGATGCATTTGTTTTCATGACTGTGCCCGAGGAGGAGACTCACAGTAGGTGGAGGCCATTATTTCTCTCTGCTGCCTCGACGTTTTCACCGTTCCCCGCACTCGGAGCAGCTCTCCGATCTCCAGCCGGCAGTGCTGCTGGTGGGCTTCTCTGAGTTTCTTCAGCTCAGCGGCTGGGTTGAAGCCCCCATAAGCCCCGTCACTAAACTTTACACCTGCTGATGAGACACCAACAGCTCAGAGCTATGTTCAGTTGACTGCAAAACTACAACACGCTGGTGTTTCCGTCGATACATTGTGGACACCAACGTCGGACTAAATGAAAAAACTTTGTTTCCAGGGTGAAATGGTTCTACAACGTGTTTACATTTATTGTGGACGTCTCTAAATTATCTACAGGCTCAAATCTCTCCATACATACACCCAACTCCAGTGGTGCTGGACGTCCTAACAAGTCTTGACTAGTGATCATGACTGACTGCAGCCAGTGGTTCCTCTGTCAGATTAATAAAGGAATTGCTTGACTGCACTCACTGGACCGGTGAGTGCCCTGAACCATGGGCATGTCCAAGGAACTAGGAAAAGTCTTTGAGAAATGTCCAAACTTCAGATTCAAAAATCAACATGTCAAACGACCGTCTTACAGGTTCATCAACGAGTCACGGCTTGGTCAAGATCTGGGAGAAGACCCAAACTGTCCCCCCTCAGAGGGAAGGACATTGGTTAGGATGTTCAAGAACCACCGAGGCTCAAGGCTGCTACCAACTGAAAACCGCTGGGACATCAGTGTCCCTGTCCACCAGTGTCCATGTCCACAGTGAAGCCAGTCTTACATCACCACGAGGACCAAGAAAGAAGCTCCAAAACCTGCAGCTGTCCACATGGACGAGACAAACGTCTCCTGGAGAACCGTGTGATGGTCAGCCGAGACAAAGACTGAGCTGTTTGGACACAAAGACGAGTTGGACGTTTGGAGGAGACAAGGTGAGACTTTTGCAGGTGAATCTCAAAAGATTAGAACTTTGTGGAAAAAGTTCACACTTTCTTGTCCGTCATTTCAGAAAGTGAAACATTTCAAACTTTTATTTCTTCTCATTTCGATGGTGATGGTTTACAGATGATGGAAAACAAAACTCGGGTTTCTGAAATGATTGACAATAAAAATAAAAATAAAAAACGGATCTTTTTCACGGTATTCTAGTTTTCTGAGATGTACCTGAAGACCTCAGGACACTGAACCAACTGTCAGAGCATCAAGCTGCGGAACAAAACGAAGAGGACTACCTCCAGATGTTCACCTTCATCTCAAATCAACATCTGGCGGTTAAAACTTGGACACAGTTGGGTCCAAAAGGACAACGATACCAAACCGTTCAGAACTGGCCTCTACGTGGATAAATCAGACTAACATGAAGCTTCTGGTCCAACAGGACCTCAAACCAACAGAAAACTTGTGGACTCTGGATAAAAGTCAGGTCTGAACCAGGAAAACAACCAGTTTACATGAACTCTACCAAGAAGAAGAAGACGGGTCAGAAGTCTGCCAGAACCTGGTGGAGACAAAAAGCCCGAGGTCCAGGAGACACCAGCTGAGGGACATCTGAACAAATGTTGGAGAGGAATGGAAACTGTACTGGATTTCTTTTATAAACCACTGAAGGTGTTTGTTGTAGAACCGTTCCGCCCTCAAACAAGAACGCGTCGCATGAATCACGACTAACCGTAAAACCAACCGATGCAGAAAAGTTCCGACTTTTCAAACCAAACTCTTCTCAGTTTCTAAAACGTTTTTTTTTTTTTTCATTGTGTGTGAAAAACATTCAGTTTAAGCCCAAAGTTGAGCAGAACGGCTCCAAACACGCGACGTCACTTTTCTCTGGACCGTCTTCGTCTTGAAACAGCTTGGTCTTCCAGCACAGACAGTTCACGACGCCGGTCCCATCGTCCACTGTGAACACAGAGCTCCGGGTCAGACCAACGCCGCTGTTTAACAACAACAAAAGGTAAACAACAACAACAGCACGCTCAGTTTCTGAACCTCCGTAACAGAAGAAGTCGTCCCTCTCCCTCCGGTACACCACCGTTCCAAGAACGTCCACTTTGTAGATCGGATGCTGGTTGTAGAAATAAACTCCTTTGAGCGACGACACGAAGCAAAAAGTAAAAATCACATTAGAGTCGTGATTTAAAATTTTAAAAAAATTTAACTTTCTTTCACAAATCAAAACAGCACGACTGAGTTTTTTGAGCCAATTTTATAAACAAAACTGAGAAATGGATGAACAAAACCAGTCAGGTTTTTGGACTGGTTTTAATCCAAGATGTTCAGGATATAGAACTTATTATTATTATTATTAATAATAATAATAATTCCAGACACAATTGTTGATAAAAACAATAAATTGAAGATGAAAACAAAGAAACTAAATGTCTGAATTATTTACATCAAATGTTAACAAGAAACAAGTTCATTTAGCTGAGAAATAAATCAGCTGAAATTTAGGGAAGCAGCTAAAACTGAGCTGGAATAGTTAAACCAAAAATAAGCTAAAATGAGCTAGATAAGAGCTTAAAGCTGAAACTAGCAGAATCGTAGCTAAATATGTGAAAATTAAGAACACTAATTAAAAACTAAAATTTGTTAAACTAGCTAACAACTAAAATTAACAAAACTGCAGATAAAAGCTAAAACTAGTCAAACTAAAACTTAAAGCTAAAATTAGCTGAGCTGTAATGCTGAGATTACCAACAATATAGCTAAAAGTTAAAAAAAATATGAACTTGTGGCTAAAGGCTAAAATTAGGAAACATTTAACTCAAAGCTTAAATTAACAGCACTTCAACTAAAAATGGCTAAACTACCTAAAATAAGCAAAACAGTAGCTAAAAGCAAATAAAACAATAGCTGAACTGTATCTAAAAGCTAAACTCAACAAAACCAAAGCTGAAATTAGCTGAAGTGTCACTAAATATGAAATTAACAACACTATGGCTAAAAGCTAAAACTAGCTAAATTATAGCTAAAATCAATAAACAGTAGTTAAAAGGTAAACAAATCAGAACAACAGAACAAAACTTTTAAATGAATTGTGGAGCGCTCAGTTTAATTGTATGGGAAGACATTTATAAATAAAAGTTCAATGTTGTGAAAAAGTCCCAGCACCCATTTACTGAATGAGCTGAATGTTTTCATGTAGAAACAGCTAAAATAACACAAAATCTGCCAAAGTAGTTTGACTGTAAATACATAAGAAACTTGAGTTAGTGTTGCGTTTTTAAGTGCTTTATAAATAAAGTAGAATGTTATTTTATATAAAAGGATAATTTTGTGATTTAAAAAAAAATAATTTAATAGATGGCAGGTAATAAAACTTGAAGGTGTTTATTAGTTTGTCCCTTTATCCAATCAGTCCTTGCCTGAGTGTTGATCATCTTTTATTATCTGTTATTGATCAGCTGAAAACTAATCAAAGTATCAAACTCTTTTTGTTTTGTCTCCCCAACTTTGGAACCAGAACCCAGCTGGACCTGGGTGGTTCTGATGCGGGTTGTTACCTGGAACCTGGATGGACTCAGTCATCTGCAGGATGTCGTTGATGTACAGCCGAGCAAAGGCTGAGAAAACCGGGTCCAGGCCCCACAGAACCGATGGGGGTTCCTCCGTTGGATCCATGGCGGCTGTCTGCATCTCATCATGAACTCGAACTTCAACTTAGTTTTACTTTTACTCCCTTTGCCTGCTGCTAACTTCAGCCTGAAGCTTGCTAGCTAGCTGCAGCTAAACTTATTTATAAAAAGCTGATAGAGTGACGTTTTTGTTATAACGTCTACGTCGTTATTTTTAGTCAAATTATTGTTAAGCTAAATGTGTTATACGTTATTATTAATGTTATTAGGTCTACGCGAAACTGAAAACAAGCTTTTCCTTCATAACCTATATATGTTTCGCAATGGCTTATGGGATACGTAGTTTTCCGCGCACAAAGCTAAGGCCTACCGTTCGTGTTTTGAAGGGAGCTGGTGAAAATAAAATGTTACAATAATCTGATGAATGGCAACCCACTGGAAGTCATTAAATAACAGCATTATAATTTTCTGTTCTTGCTTAGAAAAAAAGTGATTTTTCCAAGCGGTTCCAGCGCGTCTTTGTTTTGCAAAGGCTTTTGGGATATGTAGTTTTACAAACACAGACTAGGCAGTTGGGTTTAGAAGCGGTGTTGTTGTAAATAAAATGCAACAAGAAACAAATAAAAGGTAATGCGCTAGAAAACATGAAACAGCTGCATATACGTTTTCTTTAATTTTTTTTTTCTTCAGTAGCAGCGCCTTTGTTTCGCAATGACTTCTGGGATACGTAGTTTCACGGATACAAAGGGACTGGACCTTTGTGTTTATAAGCTAATTTGTGGCTATTTGGTGCAAATATATAGCACTAAAAAGTAATAAACTAATTTATTATTAATAATAATTGTTAACAAATATAAAAAAGTATCTGTTTAGTTTAAATGTTGATCCCCCTCACAGGCGAGGGCAGCTGACGACTGATGAAATCACCCGCCAACAGTCGCACGAGGACAGAAGGAACTACAAGCCGCGGCGCGCGCGCGGTGTTCGTGAACGCGCTCGGATACTAAATCCGCTAGTCTGCTGAAGCCGTTGGTTTCCCGGACACACCGGGAAAATGACGGTACCAACGGTTATAACGACTTTTAACGCCCGGGCAGAATGTAAGCGTTCCTCCTCTTGAGTAGGTCAGTGAGTTCCGGAGTCGGGGATTGATGAGGACCCGTTTTTTGTGCGTTTTGTTGGATTAAAAACGGAGCCCCGCGGGCTGTCCGGATCAGTCAGGAGTTGGAACAACGGCCAGTTTCCTGTAACAAGCTACTCCTTACAGCTTGTCGACACTTTCTGATGCTCCCAGGCGGGCAGGTTGTTTTATTGATTTAAAAAAAAAAAGATGTTCCAGAGACGCGAAACGGTTCTAACACCGGAGTGTTTGAAAGGCTGAGCTCTGTTTAGGTCCAAACCGAGTCCCGAGTGTGTTTTCCATCCACCTGTGCGTTTCATCCCCGGCTCGTGAACTTTAAATTGGGAGGAGACAACAAACATGGCGTTCTTTAATTTCCGTAAAATATTCAAGCTGGGGTCGGAGAAGAAGAAGAAACAGTACGAGCACGTGCGCAGGGACGAAAACCCAGAGGAGGTCTGGGAAATGATTGGAGAGCTGGGAGATGGAGCCTTTGGGAAAGTTTTCAAGGTAGGGATGTTTTTTTTTTTAATTCCTCCTCCATAACACTTTTATTAGACATTAAAACTAACGATCGCACTTGTGTTGTGGTCCAAACCAAGGTTCTGACAGACCAGGACTGAGGGGTTTGGACCCTTTCAAGAAATAAACCTCACAAAGATCACTGAAATAACATGAGACCTAACCCTGGCATGATGGATGTGACCACCCATACGAATTCTGTACCAGCCTGCAGGTGTTCTGGTCCACCTGTACACAGGTGTCCTGGTCTGCAGGTGTTCTGGTCCGCAGGTGTTCTGGTCTGCAGATGTTCTGGTCCACAGGTGTCCTGGTCCACCTGTCCACAGGTGTTCTGGTCTGCAGGTGTCCTGGTCCGCAGGTGTTCTGGTCTGCAGATGTTCTGTTCCATCTGACCACAGGTGTCCTGGTCCGCAGGTGTTCTGGTCTGCAGATGTTCTGGTCCACCTGTCCACAGGTGTCCTGGTCTGCAGGTGTTCTGGTCTGCAGATGTTCTGGTCTGCAGATGTTCTGGTCCACCTGTCCACAGGTGTCCTGGTCCGCAGGTGTTCTGGTCCACCTGTCCACAGGTGTTCTGGTCTGCAGGTGTTCTGGTCCGCAGGTGTTCTGGTCTGCAGATGTTCTGGTCCACAGGTGTTCTGGTCCACCTGTCCACAGGTGTTCTGGTCTGCAGGTGTCCTGGTCCGCAGGTGTTCTGGTCTGCAGATGTTCTGGTCCATCTGTCCACAGGTGTCCTGGTCCACAGGTGTTTTGGTCTGCAGGTGTTCTGGTCCACCTGTCCACAGGTGTTCTGGTGGTCCACTCCTCCTGATCAATCTGCTCCAGCTGTTCCAGGTCTGAATGGTTCCTCCTCCAGATGTTTCAGCTCCTTCTGCAGATGTTCAACGAAACTTAGAAGAAGGACACCAGAATAGTCCAGTGTTCGGTTCTGATCCAGTCTTGATTGGCTTTAGCTGTGTTTTGTGCCATGATCCTGTTGAAGGACTCATGAGTTGAGACTGAAACTGATCTTTCTGACACTGGGCGGCACATTCAGCTCCAGAATGCCTTGGTAGTCTTGAGATTTCATGGTACCCTCGGTTCTGGAGCTTCACTCAGAACAGAACCGAGCCTCCTCCATGTCCCACTGTAGGTTCAGGCTTCTGTTCTATGTTTCAGTTTTGGGTCTGTGGACACAGAGTTGATGGGACATGTTGTCCAGTTTTGTCTCATCTGTCCAGAGAACATTGTCCCAGAAGCTTTGTGTCTTCTTAATATGACTTTTGACTAATTCCAGTCTGTCTTTCATAACTTGGTGTCCTCCTCAAACGTCTTCTGTGAAGTCCACTTTGTCTCAAACGGATTGTGTGCCACGGATGATATTTGACCTTGGAGTTCACCTCTATTTCTTTAGAAGTTGTTCTGGACTCTTTGATAATTATCATATTATCTGTCTCTTCAATTTCTTATCTGTTGTCCTCTTGTGGACACGTCCAGGGAAGATGTCTCCAGTCCTATGGACTTTTAACCTGAACAATGTGTGCATCTGTAGTCTTGGGAACATCAAGCCTGATCTGTTCCTTCAACATGTCAATCATTGAAGGTCATTGTGGTTTATGTTGGTGTGTTACACACAATGATACCAAACAGCCCTGTGACTACCTGTCACAGGCAGACTGACTGGTTACAGACTGAAGACCAGAATTCTGTAGAACAAGAAAAGCAACAGCCGATTTGTTTTGTTTGTTTGTTTGTTTGTTTTTTTGTAACTTTTTCCTTATTTACCATTGTCCAAAGTCTAGATTTGTCCAGGTCAGTTCATTCAACCTTTATTTATACTGGTTAATTAAGTTTGAAACGGAACAAATCTGACTGGATGATTGCAAACCTGGAAAATCTTAGCAACTGTTTTAGCTCGACAGTAAACAACTGTATCGTCAGCATAGAAAGGATGCATCAGGGATGGTCTGACCTACATTACCTATGTAGATTGTGAAGAGGGTGGGACCTAAGACTGAGCCTTGAGGTACACCATTGTTAATGGTACTTCTTCCAGTTATTTAAAGGTTATGTTGAACACGTTGTCCCGATCTGAGAGATAGTGAACCAACCAATCTGGTGTGATCTGAGAAACCAATTTCTGAGAGCTTATGACACAATATGTCATGAGTGTCAAAAGCTTTAGACGGGTCTAAGAAAAGTGCAGCACAATAATCCGTAGCATCCAGTGCTTCAACGACATCATTAAAAACCTTCAGTGAAGCAGTCGTTGTGCTGTGTTGTTTCCTGAAACCAGATTGATGGTAGTAAGTAAGTTGTAAGATGTTAAATGAGACCAAATACTTGTTGATTTGAGAGTTTATCCGTTTTTCTAGGTCCTTAGCTAAAATGCAGAGTTTAGAGATTGGTCAATAGTTATTCAGTATATCTGTATTCAGTATATCTGTATTCAGTATATCTGTATTCAGTATATCTGTATTCAGTATATCTGTATTCAGTATATCTGTATTCAGTATATCTGTATTCAGTATATCTGCTTTGCTTTTTGTCTCAACAGCCCTGCGTGAAATATAGAACTGATACAGAAATTTTAAAAATAATAACTTTCCTGGTGTTTATGAAGCACTTCTTGTCTGTTTGATGGATATTTTCAGAAAGTTGTCCCAGTCAGAGTAACTTCCTGTTCCTTTTGATGATCCTGTCCTCTGGTTGGACACCGGTTCAGAGCTGAAGCCTTATTTGCACGAGGGACAGTAAATTTGATCTCATCTGTGTTCTTTGTTGCCAAATGTTATTTTGAACGCAGTGTTTGGACTCTCATGGACGTAGTTACGTGAAGAAAATCACTCATGTTGTTCTCAGAGTAGCTCCGCCCCTTCTCGACACAAGGCCCGGGCCGAACATTTTCTCACAGGTGTCTGCACCGAGTACTGTGTGATTGGTGAGAAGTTTGTGGGCGTCCAAAAACTCCTGGATGGAGATCGTGCACAGGGGAGTCTGTCTGCTGAAAAGTGTGGCAAACATGACTCTCTTTTTAGAGCACCAGGAAAAATGTCCGCACCCCATATCGCAGCGGCGACTTCACTGAGAACATCCTGTCTGCAGAGAAGCCAAAACAATCAGTTTAACAAGTTCGGCTGATATTTCCAGACGTAAAGCAGAAGCTTTATTTGTTTAATACTCACTGGTGTCTGTCTGAGGTTTAAATATCCTATATGATGAAAATATGAGCAAATCTTCAGTTTCCTGACAGTATTTTTATCCCTGCAGGCTCAAAACAAGCAGACGGGCATCCTCGCTGCTGCCAAAGTTATCGACACGAAAACCGAAGAGGAGCTGGAGGACTACATGGTGGAGATCGACATCCTGGCCTCCTGCGACCACAAGAACATCGTCAAACTGCTCGACGCATTTTACTACGAGAGCAAACTGTGGGTGAGTGTGAGAAATAGCCGTTTGGAGCGTCCTGTCCAAACCCAGAAGCCCGGGAACAAATCACACCAACATTTATTACTGCGCAGACGACACCGAGCCCAGCAGAGCTCAGCTGAGGCTGCAGCTAGAGTCCAAATCTGATGAGGAAGAGGAGAATATTTAACGTTTTCTTCGTTTCAAACCAAATAAAAGCAAATGTTTGTCAAATTTTAAAGATCAAATTAGTTCAGAGACTGAAGATCTGAGCAGAAATCAACACAAGGTAACATTTAATGTAATAATGTTTAAAACTTCTAAGTGATGAAGAAATGCTCATCGCCCACCACATCGCATGGCGAGGTTTTACACAAAAACGCAACACAACCCCAGAGTCGGGCTTTACAATAAAAAAAATAGATTGTAACTCATAAAGTGATGCAGAATGGGTTCGTTTGTGGATTAGAATCTGTGTATTTATCTTAATGATCTAAGCGTTTTTCACATTTTACAGCCGTTCATGGTGAACATGACGGTGTTTTGGCCTTTGCAGCTTCCTGTCTGTGTGACGTCTAATTATGTCTAATACAGTTTATAGCAGAACGTCTAAATAATGTTAACTTTTCTGTAGGGTTTGTCAACAAATAATGATTTAACGTTAGCAAGGCTTCCGCAAACTTTGCCACAAGAATCAGCAGAAGTGAGTCGTGAGTTTATTCAAATCTTTGGAGCTCATATTCTGGGGGGGGGGGCTGAACCAACCCACAGCTGGTAGAGGTAGTAGCAGAGCCGTAACGGTCGAGCTGTGAAACAGTGGTTTGTAGCTTTCAGATATATTGGAGTGATGGTCCGTGATCGCTGCAACAAAAAAACAATTTATTATCGAGGGAAGTTCGACGCACGACAACTTGACATTTAGCTGAAACATTTGTTAAAGACGACTCACCGAACGGATCGTGTTTTGTAAACAATACGAGGCACATTTAATGCGTCGCACTTTTGTGGAAAATAAATAATTGTTCTAAACTTTAAAAAACAACTC